TCGCATCTTTCTTTGCCGCTGGATCACAGTGATTTCAGTCTACTTCTCCCCATCCCATCCCATTGACTTTGTTGCCTTTGAAATTCTAATTTCCCAATTTCAGCTGCCGCCACACTCTGTGGGGTGACTCTACCACCAACTCCTGAGGCCGATCTCTAGAACGCTTCCTCTCCACAAATAACCTAATTATTCTTAATTCAGATCGCTCCATACACTTTGACATGCGCACGCAATCCTTTTCATGCCTTGAGCTCTCTCTATGCTCCCCTACTTTTCATTTAGTTTTCCATTGGTCAGTTCTAGACCACTTCCCTATTCCCATATTATTTCATATGTACCACTTCCTAATCCCCCATGCTGGTGCTTTGATAGAGCTGACTGGCATACTTTCACTTCACTCTCTACTATACGTATCCCTCTACCCCCTTACTGTCCATTTCAGATATGCTACAATGTTTTACAACCACGATCCTAAGAGCTGCCTATACAGCCATTCCTCGAACTTCAAGATCTTATACCTCTAAATGTGTTCCATGGTGGAATTTTGATTGCACCAAAGCGCTTCGCTTACTCCATTACTCCATGGTTTATACCTAACCCTTGTATTTGCTCCTCAGTTTTCCCTGACCCACCAAAATCAGATATTCCCCCTCTATCCTTCTCACTCATTTCCTTGACCATGTCTCCATTCATTCCTCCAGCATTCATGTTTACACTGACGGTTCCAAATCTAGTATCCTTACTACAGAACTGTATGCACTCCTTTTTGCCTTAAGACGCATATACTCACCCCCTCTTCCTCTTTCACTATTTTACTGACTCCCGTAACTCTTTAACCCTCATAAAGTCTATGCACTCGACCAATCCCCTTGTCTGTAAGATCCAGAACTGGTTGTTCTATCTATCTACACGTCATAAATCTGTCAGATTTTGCTGGGTACCCAGCCATGTTGGAATCCCTGGCAATGAACAGGCAGATACTCTTGCACGCTATGGCGCAATGTCCACATCACCTCAACTACGCTTCTCACATATTCCAGCTACGGATTATTACCCCCACTTTAAAACCTTCTTGTATACCCGATGGCAATCTTTTTGGTCAAGACTCCACAACAATAAATTACATACTGTAAAACCATCAATCTCCTCTTGGTCAGCTCCATTTCACAAAAACAGACGTTGGGAGACGGCCCTCGCACGCTTACGTATTGGCCACACTCGCCTAACACACGCCTATCTAATGTCACGCTCAGACACGCCCCTATGTCCTCTATGTAACGCCCTCTTTCAGTCCCACATTCTCTTGTCCTGCCCACGCTTTAATACAGCACGTACCTCTCTGCATTTCCACACCTATCCTCCCTTCACCGACCTCCCAACATATCAGACATCCTTACAGAATCCCACAGCTGCTTTGACAACCTGTTCTCCTTCCTCAGACGCATAAATACCCTTTACTTGATCTAACTCCCTTAACCTAAACCACCATAACCTTTTCCCCCATCTTCAACCTTTCAAAACTACTCTAGATAGTTGACACATAGCAACTATCACCTGACATCCCCCTTTGCTATACCTTCCTATAGTGCTATATGACCTTAGATGTCTAGCACATTTATTTAACCATTAACCATTCCCGATTCTCCCCCTCCTGGTGCTTCCCGCTGATCCATTTTCCCCAATTCTTCCACTCCTACTTTCGACACCTATTTTACCTTGTTACACTACACTGAAATTTTTACAGACCTGTATCTTCCATTTGATTTAATCGCCTTGACCCCCTCTCCCTTTTACTAATCCCCCCTTGCCCATTTGATCCTCTTTACCCTTTTCGCTTCTAG